AAATATACTACTTAACCTAGATAATGGTACTGATTCAGAAACAGTAGCTCATTTGCTCTGAGGTGTTTTCCAAGCTAAATTTGCACTTGTTCATCTTGCTGCCCCTTCCTTTAATCTTTTTATAATGGATTTCCAAAATACATAAAAGAATAGTATAACAAACGTCTTGAACCCATTACTCAACTTCAAAAATTATCAACATTTTGCCTCCTTGGTTTCCTCTGTTCCCTCGTCGTCTCTGCAACCCATACTAAATATTCCAACTAGCTGTTTTCTTGAGAACAGATCTATATAAGATAGACCCTGATGCTATTATCACTGTATTTGAGCAACTGCGTCAAACAATCTATCTTTCCAGAAATACAATAGGAAAAAAATCCAGAAAACACTTATACCCATTTCCCCACCCAAGCAATTACTAAAAAAAGGAGTGTCTAAATACCAGACTGTTTAAATCAAGGGACATGCCCATTACCAAGTTGGGAGAACTTTGGAGAGGGGTGTTGCTGTGTCTGCAAAATGAATGTAGACATGATCTGCTTTTACTTGTGTACACCTGATGCAGAATTTCTGAGTGAGTTAACAAGTTTTTACTGACTACCTGCTAAATATGAGTGATGAGATTAAGACAAGATAAATAAAACCAGCTAAGTGCAGTGGCTCACTCCTGTAATCCCAGCACTCTGGGAGGCTGGGGTAGGTAGATTACCTGAGGTCAGGAGTTTGAGATCAGCCTGGCCAATATGGTGAAACCCCGTTTCTACTAAAAATACAAAAATTAGTCAGGTGTGGTTGCAGGCGCCTGTTATTACAGCTACTCAGGAGGCTGAGGTGGGAGAATCACTTGAACTTGGGGGGTGGAGGTTGCAGTGAGCTGAGATCATACCACTGCACTCCAGCCTGGGTGACAGAGTGAGACTCTATCTCAAACAAAAAAGAAAAACCTAGTCTCTGTCCTCAAGGAACTCACAGGGTGGGGGTGAGAAAAGTACACAAATAACCCATATACAAGGCAGAATATGTTCTGTGCCCTAAGTAAACAAATCTAAAGCAAGAGCTCCTTTTAGAAATCCATCCACAGCAGTTGTAGAACCCAGGATATACCGTTTCCTCAAGTCTAGTTTTGCCTTCTGCTGTACAGCCAGTAAGTACACTATGAGACCGGGGAATTTGGCGACCCACAGAATAGACTTTTGGATGTGGATGTTTGATGTCACATTTTGCTACTGACTCTCTAGACTTCAGTGGGTGGGGATTATAAAGTTTTCCCAGGCCTTGGAAAACAATGGGGCTAATTCAGTGCCTGCAGAGGCTGACGCCCAAAGCATTCTACCCTCAGGCCACATACAGCAAGCTGCTCCGTAACAGGATAGGATAGTCGGAGTGTGTCCAGGAGACATAGCTAGATTGATTCTGAAGGATTTCCAAGGGCTCTCTCCCTGCCCTCTAAAGGACCGAGATCCTTCGGTGATCTATTATCAGAAGCCATCAGAAGTTCCCAGATAAGAGTGTAGTTCTCTGGATAAACTGAAGAGATTGATGAAGTTTGATGGGACAGTGCAGTGTATGAAGGAAGCAGAGCTGAAAGCAGCAGGGGCATACACATGGCCCTAGAGTTAGATGCACAAGAGAGTGGAAGAAGAAAGGAGCAGAGTTGAGATGGAAGGGATATTTACATTGTAATCAGTTGTCAAGATTGGTGAGGTGAGGATGGCTGAGGGGACAAGAGGAAGGCAGGAAGGAGAAGGCTCTGTGGAAGAGTGAAAGACAATCCAGTTGAAAAGGCAATCACTGAGGGAGGAATCTGAGGCAGGATCTCACAGGATATTGGGCAGGGGTATGAGAGGAGAGGCCTTAGAATGGGAGGGTGTGCAAGTTATGCAGGATGGGTTCATGCTAGGATGGAAGGGGCTTATTCCATTAAGCTAGGCATATCGAGAGGTCACTAAATGAAGGGTGAATTAGATGAAGGTTTCAGATCACAGAATGTGGGTGAGGATGGTAGAAGGTGGGGTGGCAGGAGCAGAACACTGAGACTAAAAATAGGATGAAACAACTGGGCTAGAGGGTTTTAGAGCATACAGACATGTGGATTCCTGGGGCTAAAGGACTTAAGATGAGAGGATTTGGGGTAAAGTGCCAGTGAGGTGGGAAACACTGTAAGGTGAGTGAGCTCACAGGGCAAGGTCTGGGAGCGTAGCACAAGAGATATTTGGGCAAAGGATGAAAAGAGAGATTGATTGGGTTCAAGACACTACTCCAAAACATGGCAACTTGAGAAAATGGCAGTAAGAAGGTCACTCTCACCTTCTCCAAGTCTCTTCTCCCCTGAAGCAGATCATAAAACCTAGAATTTTTCTACTTTCCCCTGAAGCAGGTCATAAAGCCCTCATAGAGAGATGCCCTCCCTATACTCAGAGGAAAGAAGCACTCTTATCTCTGAAGACACAGGAACATAGAGAAGAGTCTGAACAAAAAGGCCTTGCTAAGTTTCTCCCAGCTTATTACTATTTGATAGCACCCTTTTTGTATTTTTTCCAAAACTATCCACTATTCATCAAACCTAGCATAAAAATACACAAGTTTAATCATTTCTTTGGGTCTTCATTTCCTTATGAAGGCTCCTGTCACATAAAACTTACATTAAATAAACGTGTAAGATCTTCTCTTTTTAATCTGTCTTTTCTTATAGGGGCCTAAACCATAAACCTAAAAATATATTTTCCCTCCCCTACAAGGTGCAGGGGTTTCAGGGGATATGAGACCAAAAGTCACATATAGTAAGATGAGAAAGTCACCAAGTTATGTGGTAAAGGGTAACAGAAACCTTGGGGGTCAGGGCCAGTCTCAGTGGCTCATGCCTGTAATCTCAGCTACTTGAGAGGCTAAGGTGGGAGGATCCCTTGAGGCTAGGAGTTCAAGACCAGAACCTTGGGGATCAACGAACGAGCTGATGCTGGGTCCAGGTAAGTTTGGGGGAAAGATAGGCAATGGAATAGGGTTTTTGTTTTGTTTTTAACTGTGGGTTTAAATCTGTTACTTAGCTGTGTGAGTTTCTGGTTCATTTCTCCACAGCCAACCAACCTAACAAACAAAAATATGGGAAGGGAAAAAGGTGGATATAATAATTAACTCTTGGGGTTGTTGAGCAGTAAATTTAACTTACATATCCAGAGCTTGGCACACAATAGGTATTAAGCAAGCCAATCATTACTGAGGCAAAATCAGGGTAAAGAACCAGAGAAAGGTGGCCATAGCAGAGAAAAGATAGGAATTCCAAAATGTCAGGAGTAGCAATGTAATGCAAGGCATGGGCCACATGTTCAGTCTGTTGAATCCCTAGCATTCAGGACACAGTAAGATCCACAGGAGCTTCTCATTTCTAAAAACAGCTTATGCTAAAGGTTTGCATGTGCCAGGCATCGTGCCCAGTGCTTTACATGTGTTATGTCAGGAACTACTATTTTCCGCCCTTAGCAGATGTGGAGACTGAAGTTAAGACAGGCTAAATAATATATCAAAAGTCCCATAGCTGAAGGACCAGAACCAGACTGGAACCTAGGTTTGTTATGACCTCAATGCCCTCAAATGAAGCACTCTGCTACACCGCTTTGCAAACATGTTAACTGATGGGGCCTGATCAAGGGAAATGGGTACGCACTATTAAGAGTGAAGTAAGTGGGTGATAGGAATGAGGCAGTAAGGTTCATGATGAAAGCAGATCCTGGGGTGAGGTTGCAGAGAGGAAACTTCCAGGGTGGGGTACAAAGATGATTGGAAAAAATTATTATCTTGACCGAGAATTGCAGAATTTCAACTCCAAGATCATCTAACCCAACCTAATGACAATCATGATTGATTGATGGATTGATCCAGAATTCTCTGATGCTTCTAATTATTACTCTTCATATTAATCTCTATATCCTCCTTAGCACCAAAAAGTTGCTGGGCACTTGTAAGTTATGTGCTGATTCACACTGAAGAGCTAGGAGCACAGAGAGGGATGCCAGTGGGGCTGATTTTAGGATAAAGGGAGAGATGGAATGAGGGTCATAGGGCTACAGGGCAAAGATACTGAGGGTTGTGTAGAAGACGAGTGGATGGAAAACTATTGGAGTAGGGCTTCAGAGTTGCCTGCAGAGTTTTGAGGGGAGTCACCGAGTTTGTGGGGAACACAGGGTAGAGTCGGAGGGGTTCGGGCCAGGAGGGTCACCCAGGTTTGGGGGTCACTAAGGAGGAGTGTGGGGATCTTAGGGTGTTGTGAGTCACCGGATTAAAGCTGAGGGAGTCATTGGTTCGTGGGTTTCTGAGAAGTGCTAGGGAATTCCTGGGTTAGCAGCCAATGAATAATAATCAATGGTTACCTGGTGAGGTCTTGGGGTCAGTGGGTGGGGTGTGGGGTCACCGGGGTGGAGGCGGGCGTCGTCACGGGGTGGGGTTTGGGAGTCACGGGGGAGGAGCCGCAGAGCGGAAAAGAGGGGCAGGCACCCTGGGTGGGGGAGGGGGCCCGGCCGCGGTGTAGCAGCCCGGCCGCCCGGCTAGGGCCGGAGGGAGGTGGGCACGCCGGGCTCGGGACCTTCCGGGGGCCCTGCGCCCGCCCGGCCTCCCGCCCTGGGCATGGTGGACCCACTCTTCCCGCAGCCACCAACCTGACAGCCCCCGAGGGCGACTCCGCCGACAGACCGCCATGCACCGGGCCCCGCCACCAGCGCCGGCCCCGCAACCCGCCTGCGCCATAGCCCGCCCGCCCGCGCGCAGCTTGCCTCCCGCGATATCCAGGTTCCAGGGCCGCCGCACTTTCCTCTCCTCTCGGCGCGCCTCTACCGGGCCCGGGAACCCGTATAGAAAATACCGGGCACGCTCCACCCCGCCCCCTGCTTCACCGCGGCGGCCGTCCTACTTATGCCAGTTCCGGGGCTCCTGAAGCCCCGGCCGCCGGGATCTGAACTGAGCTCCTTGGAGCCCCGCCCCTGCAGGCCGGGGTGACGCATGGCTCGCGAGGCCGAGCGCCCAGAGAGGGCGTGCTGACGTCACGACGCCCGGGTCAAGGCCTGGGCGCGGCTCCGAGCCGGGTTGTCGCTATAGCAATCGGGAACCGCTACCTGGCGCGTCCAAGGATTCGGCCCACCTGAGGCGTGAGGAGGTGACGGAGGCCCCGAGGGCTCTGCGCCGTCACTTCCGCGGCTTGCGGGCGAGAAGGTGCGCTTTGGGAGTAGCGCGGGAGGACAGGAGGTGCAGGTTGTGGAGGGACGCAGGCCCGGGGACTGCCCTCTCTCTCCTCCGAGCTCAGAGCCCCCAAGGCTTTCTCCCGGCTGCGCGCTCAGCACTCGCTGCCTTACTGTCCCGAAGCGCTTTAAGGTGCGCAGTTCGCAGGCCTTGCCTACTGATCTTCCTTTGAAGGGAGCAGTTGCAGGTATTAAGAGCTACTTATTGAAAAGGACGATGTAGGGGGCGGTGAGGGACTCGCCTCCTCCGGGAGGGCGCCCTGGCGGTCCTCAGGTTCTCTCTCATTCCCGCGTCAGCCCCACCCTCAGGCTAGGCTTGCTTTGGGGTGAACATAAAAACCAAGCCCTTTTACTATTTCCCTCCTGGAAGGGGCTGCGATTGGGAAATTTTCAGAAACCTGAGGGAAAATTAAAAGGGAGCGAACTTTCGGTAAAAATTCAAATTTAAAAGGAGGGGCGTTAGAGAAGGAACTGGTAGAGATTGCCTCTTAGGAGAGGAACTGGGTTCCTGGAGGAATGAGGTGAGAAGCTTTCCCCTCTCTGTCCTTTCAGACTTCAACTGGTTTCTTTTGTATCTTCCCTGCCCCAAAAACAATGTAGCCTACTAAGAATAATTTTAAAAGGACATAAACTGGACACAGAATGTAAGTACTGGGTTTGGGGCTTGTAGTAGCTAAAGATATCTTTGAGGACACAGGCATCCTCTTCCTCTCTTGCCTGAAGACCTTAACTAGAAAGACCCCTTTCTGACCTTATTCTGGCGGGGACCAGAGTTCTCATCAGGTTCTCAGGTAGGCAGTGAGTGACAACTGATGGTTAGAATTCCTATGGTTAGAATTAACCATAGGAATCCCGTGCCTGGGATTACAGGAGTGAGCCACCTCACCGGGCCAAGTAGCTCCTCTTATAATACGAATTGAGGGTTAGAAATACAACAGGGAATAGAACTTAGGCTGTACCTGAGTTTGTCCCCCTCCAACCACCTTTTTTTCCATAGTAAAATATATATGTATGTATGTGTATGTATATATCTGTCCTGTCTCACATCGCTTATGGATCCTAATCTGATGGCCAGTCACCTCTGCCATTGTACATTTAACAAGAGCTCTGGGAACTGTCTGAATCTGAAGTAATGATCCTAAAGGAAGGTAATTAAAGGTCCTCAGAAGAATTGGTGAGGATATTTTGGAGGGCAATATTGAAGATCATTGCTAGCAGTTTGTGTCCTATCCCTTCCCCTCAACAAATAGGCTAGTGATCTTCAGACATTTATTAGAATGAACCCATAAAAGAATTTTGAAGAGCTATGTGCTGCTTGTTCATTTCTAAGTTGATACCTAAATTTTCCTTCATTAATTTAAAAACTTATAAAAGATAAAATTTCAAATTTTGACATCTTAAACTAAGACTTACATCATTCTTAATGTATCCGGCAGGCCTGGTGTGGTGGCTCTCGCCTGTAATCTCAACACTTTGGGGGACCAAGGCAGGCAGATTGTGAGGTTAGGAGTTCCAGACCAGCCTGGCCAGTATAGTGAAACCCCATCTTTACTAAAAATACAAAAATTAGCCAGGCATGGTGGTGCATGCCTGTAGTCCCAGCTACTAGGGAGGTTGAGGCAAAAGAATTGCTTGAACTTGGGAGGTGGAGGTTGCAGTGAGCCGGGATCATGCCACTGCACTCCAGCCTTGGCGATAGACAAGACTCTGTCTCCAAAAAAGAAAAAAAATAAGTATCCGGTGGATTCCAAGTACCCTAAAAATCTAATACCTACCATCATTCACTTAAAAATAAATGAACAAACTCTTCTTTAACAAATTTTATATAGTTCTCTTTCTCCTTAAACTTCTAATTCCATTTACTTCCTGTAATTATTAGTATATAATTTACTAAACTTTTTTAAACTAAATATTACTAAATTTTACTAAATATTTTTAACATTTTTATGACTTGTGAAACCTAAAAAGTACAATTTTTATTGAAAATGCATCCCTTAATGAGAAATATGGTGTTTCTCCTCAATTAGTTCAGGTATTCATGGATTAATATTACCTAATGGTGGAAGGTGATAAGGTGCAATATCAATCCTTTACCTGTTTTTTATTTTCATAGACATGAGCACTGAGAAACCTTGTTTGCATTATTGGAAAAGGAAGAGATTTGTTACGATTATATTCTTTGAGTCTCTGAACTTCTAAATTACATGCCAACTATCACAGAGTGATCTATTAATATTATCAAATACTATCAAATAGAGTCTTCTTTTAATTTTGTTAAAAGCAAGGGATTAGAAACCACTGAACTTCCAAAAGGATTTATCTAGTTATTAGAGTCTCAGTTTCAGTTTTATTAAGCACGATTATTAATTATCTGTGACCTTTATACTCAGAGGCACCTTGTTAATCAGATATTGATTTCCATGCTTCTTTGCTAAAACAATATTTTTTATAAAATTCTTTTATTATTACATGTTTCAGGAATTTTTTGTTAAACTGAAATTTTAGATTCAGCTCATTCACTGTGTAGAAAACAACTGGCATTTGTGGAACTGGCAAAGCCAGTTTTCATTTCAAAACAATCAGCCAAATCAGACCTACTTTCTGTTAGAATAACGTTTGACTTTATTCTTCCATTCAAATAAATATGTTAAAATTCATTTTGAGGAATATTATAAAAATCGTTAGGAAATAAGTGATTAACTGTAGTTTGTAAAACAGACCACTAAGCAACCAGTTAAGATTAAAATTATGTAGACCTATTAACATAATAAATGTTAAAAATGAGACAGTACTAATTCTCATCATATAATTATTCCTAATTATATACATAATGTAATGTATAATGTGTAGTTAAATCCATCAGTTTTGAGAAGTCATATAGAAGGTGTATATTCCCTTGGTAAATGTGTGTGTGCCTGCTTTCATCAAACTCTTGTTGTTCAGCTTCTGGGAACAATTAAATGAGAATCATGTCTAAAAATCAGAAATAACTCTAATAATCTTGTTACACAAATTTTGTCTTCTGTATTTTTTACAAAGGAAAGAAATAATGAATTGAGCAGCTAGCAATTTCATTTTTTACTTGGAGATAGAAAATAATAAACATTTGTAGGATGAAATAGGAAGACTGATTGCAATGGGAATATTTTGGTATGAAATGGAAAATAATCGCTTCCTCCCAGCTCCCTAGGTTTTTACACCCTGGACCATGCATCAAGATTCGGTGTAGGGGAGGGTTAGTCCTTTCTTTTGTAAAGTAGGACAAGGACTATGGTGAAAGTGGGGATAATGGTGGAATGGAGAGTGTGCTTGAATATGTCAACTGGCTCTCAAACAGATTAGTTTTAGAAGTTTTTTTTTTTTTTTTTTTTTTTCCCCCCGAGATGGAGGCTCTCTCTGTCACCCAGGATGGAGTGCAGTGGCGCAATCTCGGCTCACTGCAACCTCCCCCTTCTGGGTTCAAGCAGTTCTCCTGCTTCAGCCTCCTGAGTAGCTGTGATTACAGGTTCTCACCATGATACCCGGCCAATTTTTGTATTTTTAGTAAAGACTAGGTTTCACCATGTTGGTCAGGCTGGTCTTGAATTCCTGACCTCTCAATCCACCTGCTTCAGCCTCCCAAAGTGCTGGGGATTACAGGTATGAGCCATTGTGCCCTGGCCTTTTTTTTTTTTTTTTTTTTTGAGATGAAGTTTCACTCCTGCTATTGCCCACACTGGATTATAGTGGTGCAATCTGGGCTCACTGCAACCTCCCCATCCTGGGTTAAAGCAATTCTTATGCCTCAGCCTCCCAAGTAGCTGGGATTACAGGTGTCGGCCACCACTACTGGCTAATTTTTTTTTTTTTTCTGAGATGGAGCCTCACTCTGTTACCAGGGCTGGAGTTCAGTGGCCCAATTTGGCTCACTGCAACTTCCTCCTACTGGGTTCAAGCGATTCTCCTGCCTCAGCCTCCTGAGTAGCTGTGGTTACAGGTGTACACCACCATGCTTGGTTGTGTATTTTTAGCAGAGACGGGTTTCACCATGTTGGCCAGACTGGTCTCGAACTCTTACCTCAGGTGATCCTTCCTCCTCGGCCTCCCAAAGTGCTGGGATTATAGGCGTGAGCCATCGCACCCGGCCTGGTGTTAGGAAGTATTTCTTTTTTCTTTTTCTTTTTTTCCTTAAACACCACCACTTGTCAGCAGAAAGGAAATATTTCATAGAGAAGTTGAAGATCTAGAAATGTATTCCTTTAAAACTCTTCTCTGACTGATTTGAGGATATTGCCTGGATATTCCTTGCAATCTTCACATACCCATGGAAAATCTTCATTTACCCAATTTGGAAGACTTCTTAATATAGGCATATCCAAACTCCAAGGTCTCTGACTATCCACTATTTTGGGACACCAAAGCAAATGTCCTGGGAAGTAAGGAAGAAGACTTGTTCTTGGAATAGAAGTAAATTATGAGAGAAGTCAAAGACAATGGCACCAAGTTGGTGTAGTATAAAGGTCATGGATACGGTCCTTGGCTTTGCAGTTCTAGAAGTGTGATTTTGTCAGTCCACACAAAGGTGTTCATGTTTTGTCACATTAAATCAAATTCATAGTAAGTTAATGTGAATAATAGAATGCCAGTTTATTCTTTCATACTTAAAGCCACCAAGTGAACTGGATTATCTCTCCTGTTGGGGAATCTTACTGAAGATTATAATCAGAAAGTTACATGAGGATTGTGGATCTTGAGTATGGCTATTGTCAGTAAGCTAATGAGCAGATGCTCACTGCCTGGCATATAATAGGAGCTCAGTAATTATGGAATGAATGTACTTCATCTATAACTTCACTATAGATGCTAAAGGGGAAGTTTAAGATTCTGATAGGCCACCTCATCATGTTTTTTGATTAGGTAGATTTTACCTTGTTCCTCATGTTATACTCTTAAAAGGCTATATCGTGTAGATATTAAATCCAATAAAATTTCATGTCAGGGAATTATATAATTGCAATAGCTAAGTTTTATCTATCATCTCTGAGCCTAGAAATTGGGCCTGTTCATTTATAAAAGAGATTGGACATTGCTTTCTTGTGCCCTATAGGAGTATTGATGGTGGTAATGGCTGAATGATCTGTATTTACAATACTATTTGGTGGCCAAGAGTGTACTATGTAAAAATAATGACACTGGGTGACCCTCAGTG